GGATGGTACGACTGAGGAGGCTGCAGAGACCAGCGGTGCTGATGAAGCTACCATGACCACGGATGGTACGACCGACGAGGCTGCTGAGACCAGTGGTACTGATCGAAACCACCGATAACCGCGGATGGTACTGCTGAGACCAGCCATACTGATGAAACCACCATGGCCACGGATGGTACGACCGACGAGGCTGCTGAGACCAGCGATACTGATGAAACTACCATAACCGCGGATGGTACTGCTGAGACCAGCGATACTGATGAAACCACCATGGCCACCGATGGTACTGCTGAGACCAGCGGTACTGGTGAAAGCACCATGACCACGGATGGTACGACTGAGAAGGCTGCTGAGACTAGCGGTACTGATGAAACCACCATGACCACGGATGGTACGACCGCCGAGGCTGCTGAGACCAGCGATACTGATGAAACCACCATGGCCACCGATGGTACGACTGAGGAGGCTGCTGAGACCAGCGGTACTGGTGAAACCAGCGTAGCCACCGATGGTACGACTGAGGAGGCTGCTGAGACCAGCGGTACTGGTGAAACCACCTCGACGGAGGAGGCTGCTGAGATCAGCGGTACTGGTGAAACCACCTCGACGGAGGAGGCTGCTGAGATCAGCGGTACGACCGAGGAGGCTGCTGGGACCAGCGGTACGACCGATGAGGCTGCTGAGACCAGCGGTACGACCGAGGAGGCTGCTGAGACCAGCAGTGCTGGTGAAACCACCATGACCACGAATGGTACGACCGACGAGGCTGCCAAGACCAGCGGTGCTGATGAAACCACCATGACCACGAATGGTACGACCGAGGAGGCTGTTAAGACCAGCGGTGCGACCGACGAGGCTTCTGAGACCAGCGGTACTGGTGAAACCACCATGACCACGGATGGTCCGACCGAGGAGGCTGCGGAGACCAGCGGTACTGGTGAAACCACCATTACCACGAATGGTGCGACCGAGGAGGCTGCGGAGACCAGCGGTACTGGTGAAATCACCATGACCACGGATGGTACGACCGACGAGGCTCCTGGGACCAGCGGTGCTGATGAAACCACCATGACCTCGGATGGTATGACCGAGGAGGCTGCTGAGACCAGCGGTACTGATGAAACGACCATGACCACGGAGGGTACGACCGACGAGGCTGTTGAGACCGGTGGTACGGAGGGAGGAACTGAGGGTGAGCGGACTAGTGGTGTTGCGGAGAGTTCGAGTACGCTTCCGGAGTGTAGCACCACGAGCACTCTCCCGGTGTGCGCGGAGGAGTGGGAGGCTGGTGGTCATTATAAGCCTTGTAGCCGAGTGAGGTACGAGGGTGCTGTGTGGGAGAATGTGTTGGAGTCATACCCAGGCTCGGGTGCGCCGGGAAAGAGCCAGGCGTGGTACCCTGAGGGCACGATCCTTCAGTGCCATAACGGTGTGTTGAGCCCGTTGGTGTTCGAGGTGCAGCTACAGTAGCATGCAAGAATGGAGATTCCTTCCGTTTCTAGATCTCACCAGTTCAGGAACTTGCGAGGACTGGAAGCTCCGAAGTTCTTTCGGGACGTGCCGTTGCTGAAAGCGACGGAGGGCAACGGCATCTCGGTGGGTCCGAACAACATCGTATTTGCCTCGAGTCCGAAGGGCACAATTTCCGTTCTCCCATTGAGTACGGAAGGAGGCGGCGGCCCGTGCCGGGTGATGGCGCACGCTGAAGGCGTGACAGATATACAACACAGCCCTTTTCATTCTGATTTGGTAGCCACCGTTGGGGCCGGTGGGGGTGTACAGATAACAAAACTATGTTTGAGTGAAACGTCCATCACAGCAGAGGCTGCATGGAGTGCTAGTGCCCACGACAAAAAGTGCTTGGGTGTTTCTTGGAACCCGGTTGCTGACCACGTGTTGGCGACCACGTCGATGGACAAGACCATAAAAATATGGGATGTGGATGAGGGCAAAAGCACGGCGCTGAAAATTGAGACCGTCGCACCCTTGTGGAACATGGACTTCCTCCAAAACGGGAAGCTGATATGCGGCATGGGTCAGGATAACGTGTGCAGACTGTTCGACGCACGTGCGCAAACCGTCGCCGCGCAGTCGGGTCCGATATACAAGTCCACGAAGCCATGCCAGTGCATCGCACTCCCGGCGGTCAACGACGTGGACGCGTCAGTGGTCGTGACGGTGGGCTTCGAAGATATGGGAAAGCGGTACATGAAAATTTTTGACGTGCGAGACCTTGCCGCTCCCATCGTGACCACCAAGTTCCCCGGAGCCGCTGCTAACACCCAGTTTCATTGGGTCCCTCGAAACAACCTTCTTTTTGTCACCAGCCGAGGCGATGTCAAAGTCAGTGCTCTGTCCATTGGAGGGAGCAGTGGCACGGATGTGGCGCTCCTACCCGAGTACTCGTTCCCCAAACAAGCCGGATACATTGGCTTCATGCCGGAGACTAGCTTGGATGTGATGCATACGGAAGTCGCCCGCTGTTATCGCACAGAAATGGACACTCGCACCATCCGACAAACCTCCTTCCATTGCGGTAAAATCGATGAGGGAAAGTTCCAACCAGCATACTACAAACCCTACACTTCTTACACTGACCCTATCTCAGCTGACTACTGGTTCAACGGTGGAGACGCCGTGCCAAAGGCCGCGGAATACCGTCCCATTGTGGGCTCACAAGTTGCACTAGAACCAGCCAAACAAACTAAGCTGCTCAAGTGGGACGGCACTAATAAGTCCAAGGAACCGCCTCTGGAACAGAGAGGAGACTCGAACGCGGGAGAAGACGCCAGCGACCCCGAACCCGTATCCGTTAAGCCATCCGAAGTCATGCGACAGGAATCGATCAAAAAAGAGGCCCTGCAAAAGAAAGCATCTCTGCGAAAGCAAGCTTCAGCGCAGCGAGAAACGCAACGGCAGGCTTCAGAACAGCATCTAGAACACCAGGAGTCCGAATGGACGAATCCTGGGGCCGCTAGCCAGCTACTCCACGATATCCTCGATCGAGAACAACAAGAGGAGTCCCCGGTTCAAACCCCAGCAGCGCCGCCGGTTCAGAAGAAGCCGTCGCTGCCAAGGCAAACGTCAATGAAACATCCTGCTTCCGCAGCTCCCCAACAACCGCAAAAGACTCAAATCCAAGGCATATCCCCTCCCCACATTGAACCGTTATCACCTGACGCCTCTCCACCCCTACTGCCAGAAGCAGAACCAAAAGGTGCGGAATTGGAACCCATCAAACAAGGGCTATCCGCAACACCCAGTGGACTCAAAGGACCGAGCACCTTCGCCACCAGCATGGAACCCCCCACCGAGGAACAACAACAGCCTGACAGCGCATCTCTCATGGCAAAGTGCTACAAATGCTTTGGTTGTTTCTGAAAAGTCAATTCAGTTCCTCTTTGCGTCCTCTTCAACAAGTAAAACCACGCCATTATGCGCATCTGCCACCCGCTGGAGACACAGAAGCTTCCGTCCAAAGAACTTTTATCTAACAGAAATAGTGTAATGTGATTCGACAGGCGGTGGCTCTAAAATTGCCAGACCTACAAACTTGCGTTGTTCTCTAGACAACCGGCGGTCGGTCTCAGCCAGTCTCGTCACAGGTTCCCGATATCTGAACTTCCCATGTATTCCCGCACACATCCCTACATTCAATCTTCCACCCAATCCTCCATTCAACTTCCTGACTGACTGTCTTCTACCATTTTCTCCTCTCTTTCATGCCCTTGCCACTCCTACAGGGGGCGACAGCTAGGACTCGTTTTCTTCACGCAATCGATTGCAGGTATACCAGCAATGCAAGTACCTTCCAGGTCGGTACACTGCTGCTTGCAAGCCTCCCACTGAGAGGGGTCAGGAAGTTTGTACTGAATCATCTTGAAAAAGATTTCGCACTTCGCGCGGTTCCATGGCTGCATGCGATCATCGTCGTCATCGTCGTCATCGTCGTCATCATGATGGTCATCATGATGGTCATCATGATGGTCATCATGATGGTCATCATGATGGTGGTGATGGTGTCTTGCTTCCTTCGGAATCACCGACGCATCAATAAGGTCTTCTCCGGTTTCTTTCATCTCGCTAGCTAGAGGTTCACCTTCATTAGAGATATCCAGAAGGCTATTAAGCATTCCAATACCGCTCCCCAGGTTACGGCCGCTCGCCAACTCGCTGCTGCTTGCTTCATCTGGCCTGTTATACACTTTGTTGACTAACCTGCACTCCAATACTAGGCTCTTGACACAGTCGATCGCTGGCTTGTAAAAGGAACAGTTCTCTGTTTGCGTAGTGCACTGTTCCGCACAGTATTCCCAGTCGCTCGGATCGCTTAACTTCCATTGGAGGCGCTCGTAGAATAACTCACACTTTCGTATGTCCATCTCCTTGTTGAACCCAGAAACAGCAAGTGCTAGAATCACTAAGCTTGATCTCATAATCTATACTACAAATATTCTGTCCTACACCCTTTCATTCAAATCGGTACTGTCTTCGAGACTTCTCGTCTACAATGGAAAAATAGCCCCATGAAACTAAGTGAGCCGTCCGGAGACACAACGAGCTCAGAAGAGATTGTCGACAATAAAAGAGGGAGGGGGGAAATTTTTACACAAACCTACAAGTGATGCTCAACCTACACTCCGATGCGACGACCAGTAATGTGGAGCTCTCTCCACGCAGGGACGCCCTTGGCGGCACCCCGTGTCCTCAACCCACCCCGGACGACCCAGTGGCGACAACTACTGGATGGGTTCAGGACACGATAGGGTTCGAGTACATGCCGAGGTTCCCGCCGTCAGAAGCCATGGACAAGTCCGAACGTGCCGCGTGGGTAGCAGCGCTCAATAGCAGCGCCTGGCCCAAGGCCGACATTACCGACGAAGAGCGGTTTGAGGACTGGCTAGATGCGGTAGCGGGTCTAGTGAGGGAGACCTCATACAATATGGACGAGACGGTGATGGTACAGCTGCTGTGGGCGC